ACTTGTCTACCTGCTAAACTAAACCTTGGGTACCAAGTAGTCTCACCTGAACTGACTCCAGACTCAAAGCCCCAAAGTCTTTGAAGACACAGAAATTGCGTAGGCTTGTTCACATCATTCATCCTTTCTAGCCCTTTGCCTAAAATTGGGCTTAGCAAGAGTAGTTTGCACCATGAAAGGAAGTGTCTGGCAGTAAACATATTTTTGGACTAGCCAAGAGAGCAGATAGAGATACCAACAGCCAAGGAAAAAGGATGCCAGATCTTCCTGTCTATCGCTCCCTGACAGTGACAACTACTGTGACACGACGATATCCATACATTCCAGAGTGCTGAAGAGTTCATGACAATCAGAGTGACGATTAGATTCTGGATTCTCAAAGGGGCCAGCATTTTCAGTACATACATAGGGGAAACAGGTTACATTTAGAATGTGTGTCCCTGGAGGGATGAGCTACTGGTAAATTAATTATCTTCTCCTTTGCCTCTCCCTCAGCCTCTCTACATCATCTTTTGGGGCTCTGGCACCCCACTCCTGCTCCCCCGCTGCTCATTTTCTTTCTTAAGTTTTGCCCACAATTTCTGCTAGTACACTGAAACATCAGTAGCAGGAAAAAGAGGGAAGAAAGAAAGGATAACTGGCAAATTCCCATGGATCTCGATTAGAGGAATCACCTTGGATGTGGGGGGGGTGGCCTGTGCTGGAGGCACACTGAGCGTGGAGTCGCATGGCTGGAGTACAGACCCAGCACAGCTGCTGGCTCACAGGGCACCCTGGCCAGTCTCTTAACCTCTGTGAGCTGCAGTGATCTCATGCAAAATGGAGATAACAGTCACTGCCCTGAAGCCTCCCAGGGCTTGTTGTGAGGGTCACATGAGCCAAAGAGTGTGACCAGTGCTGTAAAGTACTAAATAAACACACGGAAGTCATGCGATTGCTGTTAGAACATATCTCTTGGCTTGTCACATGGAAGACCTCATCCCTCAAAGGACCTTTGCCCAATTACTGGCCACTCCAAGTCATCTGGCCAGCCTGACTCATCCCCTGCCCCTATCTGCCTGAAAGGACTTTATGATCACTGCCTTCTTATGCCATTTCACTTGCTGTATCCATCTGTCCTATGTTCATTTGACAAACATTTGCTGAATGCCTAGGATCCCTCAGACAGTGTGCTATGTGCTGGGGCTCCTGCTGTTCTCAAGTAGGAAGAGTTAATCTCACAAAACTTACCTCCTCTCATGCTAGTAAACTCATGATAAATCTCAAACAAACCCCTTCTTGTCTTGAGTTACACCTGTTTCTTAGTTCTATAACACCTGTGTAATGCCTGTGTTTTCTCTATCCCTGAAGCTCACAAGCCTAACACTTTCCTCTCCCAGCAGCTCAGGATCCTAACTCTGCAGTCACTAGTGGGAACATCTAACATTTCCCCAAACTCAAAAAGGGAGGTGATATCCTTTTAATTCTTCCTATTTCAAGATATGGGGATTAATCCTCTCAATTTCCCTTGGACGATACCTCTTGAAGGAAGCTTCTCCATTCCTACAGGGAGACCCACCATCTGCTGTCCTCACACCTTCTGAGTGACGGGCATGACCTCTTGCCCAGCCCATGCCTCCATCTCCTTTATGGCACTCCCTCCCACACAGGGCTGCCAGATTGGTTTTCCTGCCCTGACTAACCTGAGCCCCTTGTTCTGGATTTCCTTAACACCTCGGTACACAGTCACAGCCTCGCCGTCACGCACCAGGGACACAGTCGCAGCCTCGCCGTCACACACCAGGGACACAGTCGCAGCCTCGCCGTCACGTGGCACCAGGGACACAGTCGCAGCCTCGCCGTCACGTGGCACCAGGGACACAGTCGCAGCCTTGCCGTCACGTGGCACCAGGGACAGTCACAGCCTCACCGTCACGTGGCACCTTAAAGTTATCCCTTCAGTGGCCAAAATGTACCCTGGGGACCAGTGATGCTATTTTAACGAAAGCAGCTTCTTCCCTCAAAGAGAAGGACTATGAAACTAATCCCATCAGATACGTGGAAAGGCCACCTTATAAACCAGGAAAGGACAGGTTTTGAGGTAGTGTTAGAGCAGCTCTCACTCACTTTGCAAGAGGAGGGAGCAACAAAGCCTAGACCCCATGGGATTGCCCTTCTGCTAATGACACTTGTCTGGCAGAGGTGATGAGATTGTAACATTCTCAAATGGACAGAAGATAAATAAATACCATACACACACACACACACACACACACACACACACACACACATGCAGATAGACAAGTTGCAGCTTGGAAATTTTTCAGTTTTTCTCATTGCAAAATCAATACCCATCAGCAGTTTGAAATTAAAGGCAGGATTAGACCTCAGTTTTATGTATGCCTTATTGTATTCCAAAAGCTTTCAACTCGGTCAGATAAATCTTCTTTAAGAGGATTAGGAAACTTTCATTATCTTTAACCTGAACTAACACTACGTCTGAAAAATTAATCTATAGACTGGAAAAAAGCCGACAGCTGCTGGGAAAGAGACTTCTGGGCTTTCTTCTAATTGAGCCGCAGGGTCTCGGCTTCTACCCACTGGAAACTCAACCGACTCCCAAAGGAAGAACAGCTCCCTGAGCTCCTTATTTTAGCCTCTCGGTAAATGGAAAGCCCAGTCTGCTAAGATTTCCAAGAGGAGACGCTCCCCTCCTCCTTTGCCCTCCTGATCTCTGCACTGGATTGCCTGGAGCTACAGAACTTGCTTGGCCTAACGCATGGAGACTCGAGGATGTCAGCTCTGGAATGAGGGACTCCACTGCCCTGCTTCTTGCCTCTTCCTAGAGTCTTTCTGACCCAAAGCTCTGAGACCCCACTGGCTTTCACATCCAGCCCCAGGAATTACTCCAAGCTTCTTACGAAGAACGTTATCCCTGAAGCTCTGTGCCACAAGCCCTCTGTGGCCTGTATTGGCTTTGACATGCTTACACCGTCTGTCTTCTTCCCTGAAAAGTGATAGCCTTGTTCTGCTTGAGTCTGTTTCTGTACAGTGCCTGACAGTTCTTTTTTTCTTTCAGTGACGAGTTTCCTGAATTTGAAGATAACGTTGTTGTCAAGGCCACGGAGGTGCCACGGAGGCGCCACGGAGGCGTCACTTCCCCTGCCGAGAATTTCTGCTCCTCTGGAGCCAAGCCCAGGTGGCAGGAGGGTGGTGAGAGCTTGAGCTCCCTTGTTTTCTGCAGACACCCCCGCTCATCTCAGATGACTGATCTCAGCGAGGGCCTCCACCAGCCTCTGAGGAGAAGCATCAGCTGTGACACTTGTCTTTATCTCCAGATGGCAGGCCGTCTTGTAGCTCCCAAGCAGATCATCCCCAAGCCATACCCTTAGTGGGACATGGATGGAGAACAGACACAGCGGAGCACGGGTGTCCTCGTGTAGCAGGCAGATGTGGGAGTCTGGGAGCGTGGGGGTGAGAGAAGGGCTTAGAGGCTGAACGGAGGCAATGTTTCAGCACTATGGCAGCACCAGGGCCTGCCAGGAGCCAGGGCTGTAGCACACAGACCTCTGGCCCAGCTCAGGCCAGTACCACGGTGTGCAGGGCCAAAGCCCCAGATGCTCTGCTAGCAAAGAGCTGTTCCAGACAAAAGAAAAGAATGGCCACCTTGATTTGCACATGTGACCAAAGCATGAAAAGACCCTAACCCCTACTCAAACTTCCCATGAAACCATCTGAAATGAGCAAAATTATATTTTTTAGAAAGGCAGGAATGAGGGAATCCGTATTAGCTAAGCGACAATGCCATACACATTTCAGAAACTGAAAAAAAATAAAACCCATTGGATCAACTGCAGATGGGATCTGATAAAAGGCAGTTACTGACATTAAGTCACACACAGGGACTCTTTCTGAGCTCAAGGCATGGCCACGAGACATCAGCATAGGGGACACTGAGAAAGGTCCACTCAAACCTCTCCTTTGGTGGAGGAAGGATATGTCACAGGGGGATTGGAGCTAGTCTGCTCAGCACCTCATTGCTACCATGAGTGGATACCTAATAGGAATTGCTTTACATAGTGATGGGGGTGTTGGTAGGGGGCAGTTCGACATAAGGTCATTTGTAGAGCTGCCTTGTTTTAAGACGGTTCCCCAATTCTCTTGACTGCTCTCTGCATGAGTTTTTAATTCTTAACACTTAATAGTTGATATCTGAGATTCTGACATTTCTTCAACCCCATTTTTCTCCTACAAAGTAAAATTCCAATGAAACACTCTTAACTACTATGCCTGGGTTATACTAATTCAGACTTTTAAGGGAGAATGGGAGAGAATGTTAGGGATTCCCCCCTTTTAATTATATAGATTTATTTCCAACACAGACCTGGAGATAACATTTTGACTAATATCCCTCTTGACCTCAACTCCATTGTGGGGCTAAAAGGGTGTGCACGGACTCAGCAGCAATGCCAGACGGCACTCAGAACTCCTTCTGGTACAGACACAACCACCAGCTATGCAAGAACAGTCATATGTCACACGATTTCACACCAATATTATTAACCTTTTATCATGAAATAAGCCTCTGAACAATAAAAGGCGCGGAGAGTAGTACCGTATCCATTTCCTAATATATCTTTTCCCAACTCCAGAGTGCTAAGTAACTAATATCTATATAATATAACATAGTATAATATAACATAACATAATATCGTATAACATAATATATATTTCTAATATATCTTTTCCCAACTCCAGAAAGCTCAACCAGCTCAAACATGCCAAACAACCTATTAATGACAGGAGAAGGACCAGAGAGAAAATGGAGAAACTCTGTAAAGATACTCAGCACTTAGTCAAGACCCCAGCAGGTGGAAGGAATCCAGGACAGACACTCAGTCTCTGGATTCTACAGAGGAAACGGCCTTTTGTGTCTTTCTACAGGAGTAGAAGGACAAGCTGAGATCATGCTTCCCCTGCATCACTGAGGGGAACGCGAGCCCGCTGGCCAGGCCGCCTACCTTGCACGATGAGGTGCACCCGGGAGGTCTTGGGGTGGTTGTCCGTCTGCACGGAGCAGGTGTACGGGCCCTCGTCGTACACGTCCACGTTCTGGATCATGATGCTGTACTGGGTTGGCGTGTTAACCAGGATGATCACACGAGGGTCTATGGACCACTTGTCATTCCCAGCATAGAGGATGGTGCTACGGTTCAGCCAGGCCACCCGGGTGACCCGGTCATCTATGGTACACCTGTGAGTGAGGGTCGGGGAGGGGAGGGAGGGAGAAAGTGTTCAGAGATTCTGTTATAAACACAGCTGTTGTCATTCAAGGGGTAAATGAAATAACATAGCCCAGTGCTAAAGGGAATGAATTATTGATAAAACTTCCTAAATAGAGGGCAACAGTGGCCTGAATCCTCCTGAAGAACCGATGCTACAAAATCATTTCTATTTGATTTAGGAACATATTATGTGAATATCTTTGCTGTATATTTGCTTTCCATCTTATTTTTTCCCTTAGGCTTCTATGAAAATTAGTTTATATTTCTCGAGCACAGTTACCACCTTGTGCGAGAAGTGGCCCAGGGCCAGAGAGGAGAGAGAGTGCATCAGTATTTCAAGTAGGTCACTGATAATCCACATAGCAAATGCTTAACTTGTTGTTAAGTCAAAAACTGGACATATTTACCTCCAGACCTCCCTCGTGTTCATCATCTCCTGTACCCCTAAGCTGCCCAAAGCCCTCCAACTGCAACTGATAACACAGAGTCTTGAAAGTCACGGTACAATGCCAGCAGTCTTTGAGGCAGTCATGGCTACCTCTTAAGATTTCAGGAGAGGGAAGGAGAAAGTGGCCAAGCAGACCACTACCCCACATACCCTAACCTACTCTTCCCAACAGTCAGAGGCTATGAATGGAGGCTACAAGCACATGGAATGTGCTTGTCGGTGTGTATGACCTGCAGGTTATCAGGTCTAATGCAGAAATAAATGTGCCTGCTGGTCAGGAAGAAAATTTGCAAATGTGTCCCAGGAACTTAGAATGTGTGGGTGGAAAACTGAGAAAAGGAAATCCTTGAGAAATCAGAGTTGTTCAATGAAGGGCATGGTTAAAGGGCCCCAGGTGTGTCTACGCCACTACTCAGTGCTCTAGTCAGAACCTGAGTTTCAGTATCTCGGCAAATGAAAAGGTGAAATGACACCTGCTTCCCCGAGATGTCCCACCAGAGAGGGTATGAGCAGTGCCTCCTGAGGACCGGGAACGTGAAGCCAGCACCTTCAGGTAGGGACACAGTGAATAAACATGGCCACACCTCACCAGGTCTGCTCCCACCTCGACCTGGACCAGGGCTCAGGAGGTGAGAGAACCAAGGACACCGGCCATGGGGAGACACGTGTGTTTCCCTTGGCAAAGTGAACAGCCTGACATAGCCTGAATGGTCCAGGGAACAGAAGGATACTGGAGCACCAAAATGACAGCTGCCACTGAAAGGGGTGAGCGCCCAGTCTCGAGGGGCCCTCTCCCTGATGGGGAGGAGGGATAACAGTAAAACTAGCTTCCGATCAGAGGGGTCTGCTATGCACACGTCCACCTGTCATTCAGCAGGTGCGGGCAGCCTCGAGGTAGCGGTGGGGTGACCATTGGGTGCAGGAAGGAAGAGATTTTTCTCTTCTGTATGTTCTTTGTTATTTTTTACAACCACAGAAGTAAAATAAACATGTATAAACATGTAAACAAATACAACACCAAGATGCCTAAAGGCCGAGCTAATCTTTCTCTCCACCCAACTCCCTGCCTGGATGTCGCCATTTCAGTGACAGCCTGTTATGTCTTCCTCACCTTACTCCTTACAGACATATATTCATATATGGAAAGGTTGTGTTGATTTATTTTTACCTAAAACAGAATCATACTCTAATACTCTTACAAAGCTTTTAACTTGGCCACAGGCATCCCTGCATACCTGTACTTATACATCTAATTCTGTAATTGTTTCCAGATACGTCTAATATCAGTGAGGTGAGTTTTGGGGACCCAGCTGCATTTACCTAATGGTCCCTATATTCAGGTATCATTCACAATGACTCCTTCCCACCTTCACGGATGCCTATCTGGCATAAAGAAAAACTGAAGTCATCAAAAAGTCTACAAGTCATAAATGCTGGAGAGGGTGTGGAGAAAAGGGAACCCTTCTACAGTGCTGGTGGGAATGTACACTGGTGCAGCCACTATGGAGAACAGTATGCAGGTTCCTTAGAAAACTAAAAACAGAGTTACCATATGACTTAGCAATCCCACTCCTGAGCATATATCCAGAGAAAACACTAATTTGAAAAGATACATGCACCCCAATGTTCATTGCGGCACTGTTTACAATAGCCAGGACATGGAAGCAACCTAAATGTCCAATGACAGAGGAACGGATAAAGAAGATGTGGTATGCACATACAATGGAATATTACTCAGCCATAAAAAAGAATGATATAATGCCATTTGCAGCAACATGGATGGACCTAGAGATTATCATATTGGATTGGCCAAAAAGGTCATTCGGTCAGTGAATTTACATTGTTCGATGAAATTCTTGGTTAAAATGAAAAATATATCTTTTATTTTTACTTAAAGCCGAATGAACTTTTTGGCCAAGCCAATACCAAGTGAAGTAAGCCAGACAGAGAAAGGCAAATATATCACTTATATGTGGAATCTAAAAAAATGATACAAATGAACTTATTTACAAAACAGAAACAGACTCACAGAAAACAAACTTATGGTTACCAAAGGGGAAAGGGGGGGGGGGATAAATTAGGAATTTGCATGTAACATATACATGCTATTATATATAAAATATATAAACAACAAGGACCTACTGTATAGCACAGGGAACTATACTCAGTATTTTGTAGTAACCTATAAGGGAAAAGAATCTGAAAAATATATATATGTATGTATAACTGAATCATTTTGCTGTACGCCTGAAACTAAAACAACACTGTAAATCAACTTCACTTCAATAAGGAATAAATTAACTAAAAAAAAAAAAAAAAAAAGAAAAACTAAGGTCATATTGTCTCCTCCACATCCTTGGGGCCCTAGCTTCACTTTCTGTGCATTTTTGTTCCTTCTACAGCAACTGTCCATTTCCCTTATAAGGACTAAAGCCCTAATGGGCCCTCTCTGCTCCCCACTTTCAAAAGCATTTCTTAGGAAAAAAAAAATATGATAAACACATTCATTCTCAGTTGCAAATCACTGATAAGAATTAACATGCCAACTTTCTTAATAACAGCTGTATTTCCATGAAGATTAAGTCCCTGTTTCAATGACTCCTAAAGTTTAATTTCCTACTGTACAGTGCGGCCAGCCTGGAAGTAGATGGTAAACTAGACAGAGCGAAGGGTGTTGTCTCCCAGACCCTGGAACCACACACACCCAGGTGACAGTGCAGACAATATACTTGCTTTTATTTTGGTCAATTATGTAATCCTTTGCACATTTTAAGTTGACATAATATTTTTAAAGTTTAGGTAATTAGTTGCAAAGGATGCATTTTTGGTCTGTGGAGATTATTCACATTTTAAAATTAAAATGTCATAATGGGGCTTCCCTGGTGGCACAGTGGTTGAGAGTCTGTCTGCCAATGCAGGGGACGTGAGTTCGTGCCCCGGTCTGGGAAGATCCCACATGCCGCGCAGCGGCTGGGCCCGTGAGCCATGGCCGCTGAGCCTGCGCGTCCGGAGCCTGTGCTTCGCAACGGGAGAGGCCACAACAGTGAGAGGCCCGCGTACCGCAAAAAAATAAAAATAAAAATAAATAAATAAATAAATAAAATGTCATAATGTCCCTTTATATACATCTCTATACGAATTTAAATACCATAGCAATTTGATACTCATGGTTGTCTACTTTCAAAATTCATGAACAAGCTCTTTTTTAACAGTCATAAAATGTGCATTGCTCCTTTTCTAAACTTGAACTTGTGTATCTATTATATATCCTCTGCAGGATTTTATCCTGATATAATATTTCAAGCACATTTTATGCTTGAAAATCTTTTACTGATCAGCTATCATATTTATTTGCAACAATATATATAAAGTATAGAGATTGAAATTTAAATTTCTTTCATGTTCTGTGACCGTAAAGCTCTGAATAATATTTTCTTTTAGAATGAGTTATCATTACAAGGATAATATTGATAAAACAACATAAATATATTATACATGTGGTTAAGTAATAATTAAACATAAGAAGTAAACTTTTACTGGAAATATAGCTCTCAGTGGGATAGATGAGGCTTTTCTGTTTATTATACCATCGATAAATATCATTATACTAGAATGAGAGCTCAGGATCAATTCTATGCCTATTTTGCTTTGAAAAAAAACAAGTTCACATAAAAAGGAGATAGAAATGAAAACCTTGTACAGCAATGTCACTCAATTCTTTGAACCTCTTCCAAGATATATGCCAAAAACCACATAGTAATATAGCTTCAAAAATTATTTTAATGATCTCACAGCTGACAATTCAATTAATTCCTCCTTCAATTTCTTTTAAAGCAATGAATTGGAAAATACCTGACTTGCAAAGGGCTTTGTAACCCAGTATTAAATTCATTCAATATCTCAGCATCTGGACAGTATATTGCTAACATTTTACTAGGCCTTATCAAATGACTATTAAAGATGTGTTTTCCTGTCACTTAGAAGCACTTTGTTTAACCCAATATGCTGAGAAAGGTGGGGAAAATTGAAATACTGTTTATTTTAATATGCCAAATCACCCTGCCCTCTGTCAGAAAACATCTCTACCTCTCTGGATTCTAATTCCAAGATAGAAAAGGTACCAGTTTTGCCATGAATTCATTACTGACGAAAAACTGTGCCACTTCCTTCAGGACTTCTCTGCTTTACTTTGGTGGGACTCTCCCTCAAGACTGATACTCTGTTTGATGACAGATTGATAATAGCAGTGGAGGTAACAATGAAAGTAAAGGAACGTTCTCTCCCGGACAATTAAAGTGGGAGCAGTCAGAAAGGACAACCAGAACTACAACTCAAACACAAGTCTTTCTCAGGCAGATCCATTTTAGGACATTTTAGATCTTGAAAATGTACTTCTTTAGATACATTTCCTTGTGTAAGACCTACAACTGCAGGTTGGGGGTGAATCGCACCGGTTCAGATTGCCACAGTGTCTGGTAGGGGCTGACTTTGAGGCAGGGCAGTCCAAATCTACCCTCTGGG